AAAGCTCGAGGTCAACCTGACTTCTGACGAGAAGGACCTTGACGGCAAGCAGCTGCTTAAGGTGGTCATGAGAAAGTTCTTGCCTGCCGGCGATGCTCTTTTGGAAATGATCGTCGTCCACCTTCCTTCGCCCGTCACTGCTCAGCGCTACCGTGTCGAGACTCTCTACGAGGGTCCCATGGACGACGAGTCTGCCATTGGTATTCGTGACTGCGATGCCAACGGACCCCTCATGCTCTACGTCTCTAAGATGGTGCCCACGTCCGACAAGGGCCGATTCTACGCTTTCGGCCGTATCTTCTCCGGTACTGTTCGCTCTGGACCCAAGATCCGCATCCAGGGCCCCAACTACGTTCCCGGCAAGAAGGAGGACTTGTTTGTCAAGTCTATTCAGCGTACCGTGCTCATGATGGGACGTTATGTCGAGCCCATCGAGGACTGCCCTGCCGGAAACATTCTTGGTCTCGTCGGTGTTGACCAATTCTTGCTTAAGAGCGGTACCCTCACTTCTAGCGAGACTGCTCACAACATGAAGGTTATGAAGTTCAGCGTCTCTCCCGTCGTGCAGGTCGCCGTCGAGGTCAAGAACGCCAACGACTTGCCCAAGCTGGTCGAAGGTCTCAAGCGTCTCGGCAAGTCTGACCCATGTGTCCAAGCATGGATCGACCCAGGATCCGGTGAGCACATCGTCGCCGGTGCTGGTGAGCTCCACCTGGAAATCTGCTTGAAGGATCTCGAGGAGGACCACGCTGGTATCCCCCTCAAGATCTCCGACCCCGTCGTCGGCTACCGTGAGACTGTCCAGGCCGAGTCCTCCATGACCGCGCTGTCCAAGTCGCAGAACAAGCACAATCGTCTCTACGTCACTGCTGGTCCTTTGGACGAGGAGCTCACCAAGGCTATCGAGGACGGCAAGATCAACCCTCGTGATGACTTCAAGGCACGTGCTCGTGTCCTTGCCGACGACTACGGATGGGACGTTACCGATGCCCGTAAGATTTGGTGCTTCGGCCCCGAGGTCACTGGTCCCAACCTTCTCGTCGATACCACCAAGGGTGTGCAATATCTCAACGAAATCAAGGACTCGTGCGTTGCTGCCTTCCAATGGGCGACCAAGGAAGGACCTTGCGCCGAGGAACCTATGCGTGGTGTTCGTTTCAACGTCATGGATGTCACCCTCCACACCGACGCCATCCACCGTGGTGGTGGTCAGATCATCCCCACTTGCCGACGTGTATGCTACGCAGCTGCCATGCTCGCGCAACCGGGTCTGCAAGAGCCAGTCTTCCTGGTCGAGATTCAATGCAACATCGACGGTCTTGGTGGTATCTACTCGACCCTTAACACCCGACGTGGACAAGTCTTCTTCGAGGAGCAACGTCCGGGTACACCCATGGTCACTGTCAAGGCATACCTGCCCGTCTCCGAGTCCTTCGGTTTCAACGGTGCTCTGCGTCAAGCCACCGGCGGCAAAGCCTTCCCTCAGTGCGTCTTCGACCACTGGGCACTCTTGTCAGGTATTGCCACTGAGAGCACCTCCAAGGTCGGAACTCTGGTCAAGACCATCCGTACCAGAAAGGGTCTCAAGGAGGAGGTTCCTCCCCTCGACACTTACTACGACAAGTTGTAAACGGCTTTTCCTGCCCACTTTCATGAAATCGTGTACTTCTTGTCCTTCGCCATCTTGCACAGTAGCCACCTAGCTGTGCCCGAAAATATAGCTTGCATTCCCTCTATTCATGGCGTGAAGTCTGCAAGCTGATAAAGAGAAAACATCGATGACACGCGATCGCGCGGCGCAACTTAAAGATCAAGTGCGAGTATGTAGTGATTGCAACGACATGCTCGAGCGCTTATTAGAGTTCTCAAAGTCAAAGTCTGTCATCTGGCTATTCGGGAAAAGCGAGACGTCAGAGAGAGGCTTCTGCTCCTATTACTTCTTCTGTGCCCGACCCTGCGGCAGCGAGCAGCATTGCTTTGTTGGAACCGAGTTTCAAAACACAAGACGAACCACCAAAGGTTGTGCCTGGCATCGGTAGTGGGCGCAAGTTGTGTGAGGCAAAACTCAATGAGCATAGCGAGGAGCAACATTGCGCGTGGATGCGTTGGCGATTGCACAAAGCTAAACGAGGCTCATTTAGCCACTCACCGCGCTCATACCCGATTCGATTGCACAGGACGACTGTGGTTGTTTTGCCGACTTGGCGAACAAGAGGCATAAGTCGTAGTGCCCAGTAGTTGAGCATTCTAGGATCTGCTTGATCAGGTTGCAGCGGCTCCCTTTCTTCCTCGTCCGAATCTTCTTGTGAGTTGTCCGACCCCACCTCGGCAGTTTTGCTTGCTTCTGGGCTCCGTCTTTCTTCGAGAGGCTGCTTCTGCTCCATGGCGAGCCAGGCCATGGGACACGCAACCACATCGCACTCTTCCTTGGCGGCCCAACTGGAAAATTCATACTTGTCAAACGGAGCGCTGAACGTATGAGGACTCAGATCCATACAGATTCCGCAGCCCAATTTGAAAGAGGTGCACGGATCTCGGGGATGAGGCAAGGTGATGGAGGTAAAGCCTGGGCCTGATTTGAGCGAAGCAGCAAGCGAGCAGGTTAGTATAGAGTGAGCAAGTTGACGAGGAGGGAGCAGCGCAAAGTCGACTTTTCGACTGACCTTCGCAAGCCCAACCTTCTTCGGCTTCGTACAAAAAGTGTTTTCTGAACAAATGCACCAGCTCTCCTTTCGGGTCGACCAAAAGGGCTGCATTGTACCAGCCTTGTTCCTTCTCCGACTGCGGAGGAGGCAGTCCGGACGCTTTTCGGTCGTCAGGCGACGGTCTCGCATCGAACGATTTCGAGATCGAATGTGGATGGCTCGCAGTAGGAAGTGTGAGCGGGGCTCGGACGGGCACGCCGGCTATCACGTAGCACGAATAGTGCTTGGCCAAGCTGCGGCACACATCCAAAGTCGGGGTCGGAGTCGCAGTCGTGCTGGATGATGCTTCCTTCACCGCTTCCTCGGCAGGCGCCACGGTACTTTGCCAAGGCCACTCCGTGTATCCCTCCACCTCTGCTCGATCCCTAAACATGTACCCCGTCAAGACCATTTCCGACAAGACGATGAGATCCACCTCTGATCCCGTTTCGTGCTCTGCATCCGTTCCAGCAGCGAGCTTCTCTTCCAGCAACTGATTCACCTTTTCCGCATTTCGCTGCACATTGCGAAATTGAGCCTCTATTTGAACGGACACTACTCGGAGCGGAGTGCGTGCCAAAGGTGGCTTCGAGCCAGGATCGACAGAGGCAGACATTCGAGATTGTGCTACTCGCTGCGTTTCGCCAACTTTGATCTTGATGAACAAATTCTGCCGGAGCCTCTGTCGACGGACTCGCTGCTCGCCTTCCAATCTTGCGTGGTGGATGATTCGACGCAAGCAGTCCACGACTTCTTTGACAAATTTGAGAGTCAGGCGGCGGTGAAGTGGGCCCGCGCGCTTTTTGGCTCAAGCTCTTTAGAATGGAAGCGTACGCGGGTGCCTGACATGCAGGACAGCGAACGGCTCGTGCCCGGGTTCCCGCTGTCACGCTTACACCGCTCGCGGGCTAAGTCTCGCGCATCTGGGTGGTGGGCGCTCTGGACAAGGAATACCATTCGAGTCTGCTCCTCGATGTCAAGGGCGGGCCAACGAAGCTGGCCAAAATCCAGAAAGAGGTCATCGAAATGGGGTAAAGTCGTAGATACAAATTCGTTCGAAAATCAAATCTTGGATGGTCGTTTGGGGATCGTGAAAAGGCTGATGAGGCACAAGACACCAAGCTCGAAAAGGAGTCCCGCGCTGTGACATGAGTGGAAGGCCGAAGCTTGTCTCTTTGATCAGATACGGCATGAGAACATGGAAATGAAAAGGGAGGCGAAATCCGGGACACCGTTTGTATTCAAGGTCACACCGTTCCGCTGTTGTTTGCCTTTTCCCACGCATCCAGCTCGGATGAGATGGACGCTTGGGAGTAG